TATCGAAGGATGGACCCCAGACCGAAGTTGTGCCCATCTCATACTTGTGCTGCCCTGATAGACCCAAGGGAGCCCTACAAACTGACATCAGCAACCTGGACTGGTGAGTTTTCTTTTCCAGGGAAAATTGCCAGAGGATGTGCCCAGGGGCCCCTGGCACTGGGCTGAGACCTGACTGCAAAGAATCCTTATATCGAAGGATGGACCCCAGACTGAAGTTGTCCCCTCCTCTTATCTCTTCTGCCCTGTGTCCTGGGTTGTAAGATAAGCTTGTATTCTATTTGCCATCTGTTGAAGGCAAACCTGTTGGGCAGGTTTTGTTATCTCTCTCAAAGACAATGTTTTGCCCCGTAGAGGCAATGGTTTGTTTATACAGTATTGACTGACTCACTGCCAGGCTGGTAAATGTAACACCATCCTATTGTGAGGGGTCCCACCCAGAGGGGGAAGCCAAGCACTCTATTATTGTATAAAGGGGTAGCTTTTTGGGGAGAGAGGCAGCTGGCTCTCTCTCTTCGCGGGATTCCCAGAGAAGCAGCTCTCTTCGGCGGCACTCGCAGCGAAGCAGCCGGAGCGCGGTGAGGCGACGGCGGCGGAGCTCGGAGGCAACCCTGGCGCAGAGGAAGACTGGCCCCACTGCCGCCAGATCTTCAGAGGAAAACTATACCCTTTTAAAGATCACCACTGCAGCTGCAATTCATCAACCACTGCAAGGGGAGCAATTGTCCCAGCAGGACTGCTACTGGCACCCCGAATCCTCAGGTTCTGGACTTTTTTCACTGGTTTTGTTTGTACCAATTGCATTTGCCTTTTTAAATTGTTGTCTAGTTTTCTCCTAGTAAAGAATTGTTACTCCCATTCCCATATCTTTGCCTGAGAGCCTTTTAATTTAAAGATCCTGGTAATTCAGAGGGAGGGGGTTTGCCATTCTCCATTGCACAGGAGGCTTTGCCCTCTTTCACAGACTCCTGTCTTGTCGAACCAAGACAGGGCAGTGAACCTTCTTTGTCCCCAAATCCCATTCCATTATGGACCTCAGGGTGTTGACCCACCATTTAGGTTCAACTGGGCTAAGCACCCATGGCCACACTTCAGAACCTCCTGGCCCTTCCAAGACCCAACAATTTCTAAGGTTAAAAATTCTTGTGATTTCTTCTCATAAACCTACAAATTGAGTCTACCACTCCTGGCCTAAATTTATCTGACAATCTAAATGTAGAACTAGTAAGGAAAATATTCTACTGTATTTATAGTATTATAATGACCTAGTCTAATTTCCACCCTTTCTTCTGCATAGTAAGAGCCTGAATGAGAGATTCGGGACTTCAGGTGGCTCTTCAAAATGCAGTTTATTATATCCAAGATGTTACAACAGTCCAGGGTCATGGGTGACAGAGCCTGCACCTACAGCTCTCAGCTCCAGCTGTAGACAAGCCTGAAGACCCTTTAATTCCAGTTACAATGCATTATATACTTTGCTGAGCATCTTAATACAGAAGAACTAATCTATACCTTTATTTTTACTTATAGTCTATCATAACTACTACAATTACCATATTGATGTTACTATTCTCCAATCACAAAAAGTTAGTATGTTACAGTTTAAGCTAGAAGTTGTTTTTCAGTATTCTTGCAGTGGAAAATTCTGAAGCCTTTTTTCTACTTGCAATATCAGCAGTCTTGTTTTTCTGTGGAATCTTTTTTCTTGGTGAAAACATCTTCTATTTGAGGTGGGTTTATCCTTTGCTCTAAGCCATAAAACCCCCTTCTAACTAACATATCCTTTGCCCTTTTAGTTATCCAGTAAGGCTGGCTCAGCACTTCTTTTCTTCTATATCAAAATTTGCTTTCATTTCTATTTTTTCTTCAGATTCTACATTCAGAGATCTTTCTGTCAAGCATACATATCTGTTAAACTTTCTTGTCAATCTTTCATCCTTCCCAACACTGCACCACCTGTGGTGAGGGAAGGCACAGAAACCATTTAAGATAAAGAAAATAATTATAGCAATTAGTAGCCCCCCAGTGAGTGGAGATTCTAAGGGAGGGATGCCCATATAGACTATTTCAGCAGACAGTCTGCGGCTAGGTACATGCAGCTTGCCCTGGTGTCAACACACTGGCTGCTGCTCCAGACCACTCCTGTGGAGTGTCAGTCAGAGCCTGCTGTCCTTCTTTTCCAGCCGAGATGTCCAAATCTCCAGGGCCTTAGAGACCTTGACCAGAGCATGATGGGTCCACCTGTGTTCAGCTGCTTGACAGCTGTTTCTGTGGTCAGCAACACTTGAAAAAGTCCACACCATTGTTACTAGATATTACATACCAAGCCCTGGGATTGACTGACAGGGTCTTCTACCAATCAGACCTCTTATGAAGCTGCAAGCATTTAGATCCCAAGGAGGCATGGAGTTCAGACCAATGAGAATATCCAGACCAGGTCTTTCAAAATGCCCTTTATAAGTGGGAGGGAGTGGAAAACAAATCTCTCTGTTGCCACATGAACATCTGGAGGTGAGGTGTCTTAGTCTCCTTGCCCCTCACTCCTCC